GTGTGTGTGTGTGTGTGTGTGTGTATGTGTGTGTTTATTTGTATATCCGCGCGTGTGTGTGTACCCCATAGCTATGCTTGACTACAGAAGCCACTATATGTGGTATTGTATTGTCGCATATGAGTGATTCTATCCATCCCTTTCCAAAAGAAAATGTAGATACAGTATAGTTTCGAACAAGTATATTCATGCACGTAGGTATTTCAGCCTATTTTTCCTCGCAATAGCATCGAAAGTGGTAGTCAAACCAACTGGAAGTACGATATAAGGTCCTATAAACAGCTACATATTCACTTAAAGGCAATTTGAGCTCGTACGCGTGCGTGCGAAGAACTTTCAAACAGTATATACATACGATGTACGTCCGGAAGGAAAACTTTCGTCAATATATAAATAGCTTGATATAATCAGCTACTGCTATGCTCTTCTCCGCTCCGCCAAACACGAAGCGCCTCCGCCGTGCTATGAACGATCGAATCCAACTATCTATTATCTATTCAAGTGACAAATATATAGAATCGATACATAGTGTATTGTAAATACAAACTTCGCGAGATTTAAAATTCGTTTATAAATATTTATTATTTTTTTACAATTCCAGATCGCTGCTGTTACGATTAAACATTTGGGTCATGGTTTTTTAGGTCTTTAGGACTTTATTTAGGGTTTTTGTGTGATATACATTGTATATTTAGGGTTTTTGTGTGATATACATTGTATGAGCGTAGCCTCCTATGTATAAAAAAGAATACGAGTGAAATGAAGCTAGGAGGCTATTTATGTATGAGGAGTCTATTTATTTTTCTCGCTTCCTTTTGGAGATAATGAATATGATGCAAAGCAGCAAAACGGCCACCAAATACGGCCATAAATATACATAGACTACTTTGGTAAAATACATGCATACTTTACACACATAGATAAGTCTTGGGAGTACCTACAAGAACACCGGTTTGTAAATACTATGTATAACAAGATGACTCATTCTGAGTCATGCATATGCTTTCCGTTCACTGGTATATGCTATATAAAACAAGCGGATATCTGAATTTTGAGTTATGTCTCAAAGTTATGTTGTACATATGCTAAAACATGGATAGTTGGCTATCTATTGTAAAGCATTCAAAAAGAGGCGAGAGCATTTAGAGCTAAAATATATTTATTCGAATATCTTTACGTGCAGAGATAAAATCGAGGGCTTGCGGTCGTTAACTGAGTTGGGATATGTCACGTATGTATATATGGGAAATAGAAATCAGCTGCTATGGCGAATTTTGACAATATGCAGCTGTTGATGAGACTTGGTATTCCAATACTATGGCGCGCAGCAGCACAAACAGCACAGATAGTATTATTTATTGCTTATATTGAACATTGTCGGCCAATCATGCGTATATATGCAGAGATACAAGTCTATGAAAGCGAAGCAACACTGAAAGTAATTGCTCTCATCATAGCGTATTGGGTAAAACTGTGAGTGTAGATGAAATAGTGTGTTATCATCGTGCTAACTGTGTTGTGTCCAAGGATTGTTGAAGATCAAAAAAAGTATTGCACAATGGGATTGCTAAAACATATGATCGTTCTACTTTTGACACGAGAATAGTATGGAGCTTAAAAGTGCTGTGATCTGAAACCTGTGCTAGCGATACTTACACGATTTCATTAATAGCATAGGAATATTATGGTACTCTTTTAATCGACTTGCAGCGTCACACACCACGCGTTTATTTGCAGTTTACATTGCTGATTTATTTTCTGTATGAATCAATTATTGGGCACTCAGCACTGTCAGCAGCAGTCAGCCCAATGCAGACGCTATTTACAAGTGTAAATATTGCATCGATTTAATTTTTATTCTATAAAATGAAGGCTGTATTCTGTCATGGAGGGGTTTTACTAAAAATAAATGAATATAAATATAGCAACGACAAGTAGGCTAAAATAATTTCATAGCCTTCTAAATTTAAAAAAAAACATGTTTTTTTGGGGGCTTTTTATTTCAAATCAAATCAAAAATGTTCAAATATGTATAATGTATGTACATATCCTTTTCTCTGGAGAACGTGCGCAGGCCTCAGAGAACGTGCTCACATATTTCTGTCAGTATATACTCCACTGGAGCCTTGACTCTGGAGTTCACTCTCTAGTTTCAATGTTTCCCTTTCACTTTCGATACAACAACTCAACAACTCAACAACAAAGAACTACTTCAAGAGCAAATTTGAAATAAACAATCTACTCGCATTCATAGCCTTCTAAATTAAATATGAAATAACGCTATTTCATTGATCGTCAGGTAATCTTGAGAATTTAGGAATGTGACCCAAATTTTGCAAAATATTTCCCAGAATTTAAATACATACGACAATTTTTATATTTTTATATATACTGACCTAAATTCCCATAGCCCTCTATATTACACCTGCCAAATAAGTAAATACATATTCGTATTATTCAGTATCTGTCCGTTTTCAAGAGGAGTGCAAATAAATAGTAAATCCAATAAGTATATTTTGGTGTTAAAAAAATACTGATGTCAACCAAATCAATACGTTTTACGTTGAACCTTAAATCGGTAGTTGTGGCGTTTTGGCCCTGTGGCAGTCCATATCGGTGCACGATCGGAACTGTGAGGTGCAAAGTTTTCGTTCCCTTAGC